GAGTCAAGATACCAGTGTCTGTCCGGGTGTACGCTGCGTCAGCGAAGGTGACAGAGTTTCGGTCGCCATTCTGCGACATTTCGACTGCATTCTGCATTACGCCTGCAGAAGGTCCGCAGGAATGGCGACCGAAAGTCGGCACCTTCGCCATGGACGCGGCGTACCGGACAGCCTAGTAATAGTATTAAAATTTAAACTTTACAGCGCTTTTTGTTTCGCGAATTGCTTGATTATTCTACAAGTATCGATGCTCAGCATGCTTTCGATAGATATATGTCAGCTAAGCTTTAACGAGTCTCTCTTCAGACATTGTGGAGCGTACTAAATTTTTGTATGAAGTTTGAGTGTCGAAAACTACGTTCTCCATTGCACGATACTGGGTCTGTTAGGAAGAAGTCCTCCAGCGCGATGAGACTTCGGTACATTATCCTGCAGATTTTGCTGGCAGTATAAATGTAGATCTTCTTGTGGGGGTAAAAGATTTGGAAATTCTTCGAGCTACTGCAAAAGTTCGTAAGCAAAGGTCTGTCACCGCAATATCTTTGTCTTCATATGTGTTTAAAATTGCTCCAAATTCTTACAGTCTTGAATGTAGCTCTTGAAATTGTCTTTTGTTCAAACTATATATGTCATACAGGAACCCAACATAATATATACTTGTTTCAGTAATTGATCTCGTGTTCAAAATCCCGAATTGGTCGGTAACAGGGTACGGTACACGCAGTATGGCTGTATTAAAACAGCCATTGTAGAAATCCGCACGGAATTTTTGTTTTGGATCTTTGGGGGTGTCTCATTGGCTTTCATAATCAAATGAACGTTACTTCCTTCTGCTTCTAATTTTCTGATTCGAAGTGATGGAATCTCTTAGATTCTTGCAGTGTCCGTGGGGCCATCTTGCAAATCTCTTCAACTCTTTCTCCTACAGTCAACAGGTAGTCTAGTAGCTTTCCCTAACTGCTTATAGCTGAAACAAGTCAGAGTCTTGATGCAGTAGCTTACTTGTTATGTTGCTTCAAAAAGAATGTTGTATCACGTTACAAGAGATACTATAAACTTAAATTGCTAATGAGCAATTTTGCAAGGCTTTTGGCTTCAATTCGAGCAGGTATTTCCCGATGAACCTGTTAGGTTTGTGTCATTGTAAATCGACATTTTTTTCTAAGTAGAGTTTCTAAATTCTTTCTTTCTTCCTTTAAATTAAATAACTTCACAAAAAATAGAACAATAAGATTTATTCATAAAAATGTTACCAAATTTGCGCCCCTGAGGTTTTGCGCCTAGCGGTCGCCTAGTTTGCCTATACGGTAGCGCGGCCTGTGCACATTGGGGCTTCCTTTCCTTTGTATATTCAATTTCGTTTTTCAACAATGATATTGATCTTCCTCTGTCCTCCTTGTTCTGGATGCACAGACTTTGAAGATCAAGCAGGGGATAATTCATTTATTTTTTCCATCACAAACTTCAGAATTCTCTGTAAAGCCCCATGAATTAACAATAAGTGAGATCCAAGAGATGGGATGACTCAACACATGTTTTGATCTGATATTAGTGTATATCTGCGATCTAGGTGATTCTATTCATAATCACGCCTCTTTTCTATTTTGTTGTAGTACATGCACAACACTGGGGCATTCTACTCATGACCACCTGAATAAGTGAGTCAATGTTACATAGATGCCCAAACTGCTAATTCAAGGAAATAAAAAACTTTGTATTTAAATATATACTGAACTTCATGTTGTCTAATTGATAAATCAACCAATATGTCATTTCTTTCTTTCTTTTTTTTCCCCTTTCCTTTTTCTTACGAGAAAATAATGAAATACGTAAGCACTGTAAATATGTGAAAAAAAAAAAAACACTATCTTGAATGGGTCACGTCCGGGTTTATTACTCGCGCATTTTCTTGAAGCGATGACCTTGAATCCCCTCTTGTGCATAAACAGTTTGAAGGCAAAAGCCGCGCGGGGCACTGATGACCAAACCTTCCAAGCATTAAACTTCAATGGCGTGAAACAGAAGCTAGTCACAGACAGTTGTTTCATATGAGAAACGCCCTGTTCAGATTTATCCGTAAATATCGAAAGAATGGCAGAGTCAGGTCTAGGTCCTTTCAAAGGAGTCACCAAAAACCCGAAAAGTTAAAGCACAAGATACTAGTTTTTGATTTATATTCTCAGACGTTGGGCATTACTTAAAATACTCTAGTGGGCCGACATTGTAACTAATACCCCCACTGACCACACGAAATCGTACAAATCCATCGTTCAAGAAAAGTTGCCCGGAGTAATACCTAGTGACTCAGTGATATCTAGTTGAACGTGAAATTGCAAATAAACATTATTTTCTTACCGATAATGCAGGTCTGGCTCGGAGACGCGACCGAGCAGTTCAGTGGAAAGACAGTGCTCTCTATTCGAAGCCCATTTGCAAGTGTACTACGTTGGCAAATCACCTTCCGCTGTTTGTTCGTTTAGTTATAAACTGTATTAAATTGTAATATTAATTGTGTCTACTTAATATTAAAACAAGTGATGGTAACTAAAATACAAATATGTGATAACCTGTTGGCGCTGCGCAGGGAGGCGCTAGGGGCCTCCCCTCTCTAAATGAAGATCAGTATTTCTCCTCTTGCACGGTTTAAAATAATATCTGTGTGTGCTATAAGTTGTTTTCGAATCGAACGCAATCTTCGCTTTATACTCCGGCTTTGTTCCGTAGAACGTGGTTCATTGGCTAGGACACTTGTCCTAAATGCAGTGTTTATTATGGGAACGTGCTGACAAAACTTAACCGGCAATGAAAACAATAACTGAAGTACTTTTGTTTTTATTGACCTTTCAAATAAGTAAGTTTCTCTGGCGCACCTATATATATATATATATATATATATATATATGTATGCGTGTGTATAATAAATCATATTTTACTTTAAATTTTTTTTCAAAACATCATTATTATTGGGGAGGGGGGGGGGCGCAAACATCTAATTTTGCCTGCAGCAAAAAATAACATAGCGCAGGTCCTAAATGTGCATCATACCAGAGAAATAAAATAGGCCTCTAGCCGCACTTTTCTGAGGGCACTGCAAGAAACCCATTTGCACAGGAATCCAAAAAGTAATATCTTAAAAATATGGAATCAATACTCTTCAATTGCTTTGTTCAATTTCACACAAAATATATGTATTATTTTAAGAGCTGTTTTTCTCTTACTAGTATACTTAATTTTACAAGGAAAAAATAATATGTTTATTTTGTGCAGAGATGAACATTTCAACAATTTTACTAGTAAACTGTGTTTTTCTAACAATTAAACTGGTTTACTTTTTACAAATGTATAATTACCCCAAATATTACTTACTTCTGGACACAACTGCCCATTGTTACTTCAAAGTAACAAAGCATTTTTGAAATGTTAGAACTTAAAAAAAAGTTTCTACAAGTACTCTAGTGTTTCAAGAAGCAATTTAAGACATTTTACACACATAAAAATATTTTTTGACACCACAATACAAATTTGGGCAGTACAGGGTTAAATGCAAAAACAAAAAGATGAGCTCCAATTGTTGCTAGTAGTAACCCATTGTAGTGATGCCACACTGAAAACGGAAGGCAATGATGACAGCTGCCTTTGTCGCAGTTATATAAACTAATACTTTTATATTGTTGTAGATTATTACAATACCATAGTTTAATAATTACTATTATATAATTTTTTTTTATCTATTTGCATTTGCTTGTCAATACTAACAGTATCATATTATTTATTAACTTTTAATTATCTTACTTTCTCACACATTGCTTACGAAGAATATCGTATAGCTCAAAAACTCATTTGATATGTTCCTGAATACTCTGCGAAGCTTATACAAAGAATTCAATGCCAGAAATATATTTTCATTTAAGGTTTTGAATAAAAAATCTATTGCTTGAAACTATTTAATTTTTGCACAAAATTTTTACAATTTCAAATGAATTTTACAAAAAAATATCACTGAGATGTGTGTAAAATTAGAGAGAAATTGGGGTAAAAATAGTATTATATAACCATTACTAAAAGTGAGAAAGTATGCTGAAAGTGCTATTTAGCACCACTAGCTGGTAATTAGTAATGATTTCATTAACAAATCAAATATTGGTATATAAAATAATTTTAAGATATAAAAGAACAGATTCCATTAAGAAACAAAATCTCTATTTCTAAATTGTAGTCTTAGTGAAGGGTGTCTAAAAAAATTTATAACTTTTACAATTTTTGAAATTTCAGAGATTTTAACAATATTTTAATAATATACTTTGTTTCATTCACGCAAACATTTAAAGAAATATTTCAGAGCAATTTTTGAAAAAAAATTTCCAAGTGGTGAAGAATTTTACATAAAGAACTACTGAATATTAAAAGATCTGTTTCAAATTTAAGGGGCTAGATCGATCCCAGAATATCAGTTTTTGAGAAAATCCTGTGTTCAGTAATCACAGACTCACTGATGCTTTCATACAAACTTCGTTACAGTATTGGAGACCTCCCAAAACATACTGTTGAAATCTCATCATTGATTTTTAACATTATTACATAACTTTCTTTTTTTAGACAGCCTCTACAAAAAGTAGTTCTTTTAGAGCACGCCTAGCATGCTAAAAGTACAATTTTTAGCACTATTGATAAAAGTGAAACAATGCTCAAGTGTTCTGATAAATCTGTGAATGCAACAAAGAAAACAAAATACTTTCGTCTGACAGGAAGCATAAAAAATAACCAAAAAGAACATTAGACTCAAAGGGCAAAAAAAGGAAATTAGGGACATAACGGGCAAAAATAACCAATCAGACAAGAAGGAAAAAAAGGGCAAAAATACAATGCACCACTCAGCCTAGTGTCACAAATTTTCCTACTCACAAAATAAAAGGTCACTCTTACCACATATCATAAAATCTATTTAATATGTACTTGAGAAAAAAAAAGATAAGATTCTAAACATTGTCGCTTTTTTTCAGGGCTAAAAAAATGATGCTTCTAAGATGGATAAGAGGCCTTTGTTTCTTTCTTTATTTACTTAATTATGTGAACAACTTTTTCTTGTACTGCTTGTCTGGGGACATATTTAGGCAGACTGTGAGAGTTTGCCTACCAAATTACCTCCAAAAAATATGTCCTTGCTTGGATCTAAAAGCAACTACTTCAAGAAATGCCTGTCAACAATTTATAAGCCATAATCAATCAGTGACTCACAGAACAATGAGAACATCACCAGGAATAACCAGTTCACCTGTATGTTTGGTTTCAGAAACAAGTTATCAGAATTCAGCATTCATCAATGAAGAAGAAAATATAACACATCTATGAAATCATAAATTAAGCTTAATAAAGGTTCAGGATTAGTCCATATTTTCCATGAGCTAAGATTTAAAAAATTTACACAGAAATTTATATTGAAAGATTATACCACAAAGGCAATGAAACATTGAAGCATAAAGTAATTGCAATACTTATGTTGTAAGATCAAGCCAAATTTTAATTCTGCAAAATAAAGAATAGTCTTACCTGCCTTATTTCGTCCATTCCTTTCAACATTTGTATGGTTAGTTTTCCTTTGATTGCTTTATTTCATATTTTACTTTTTAACAAATACAGCCTTCTCAAAGAACTTTGTCAAGCACCTACCTATTTGGACTTGCTACATCTATCACCACCAAAAGTATATTTTATTTAACTTTTCTCAATTTTTTGGTTTCCTAATTGTAGAACCAAAATATTACTCTAAGAATATTAAAGAACAGTAAAACTACATCACAAATGGCAATTTTCATTAAAAAATTTGGAGCAGTTTTTAAAAAAACTGGCGTTTAAACACCACTTTAAATTCGAAATTTAAAGCTCTTTTTACACAATATTTTTGAGTTTTAGAAAAACAAATTGGACGCCATTTGAGGCACTTTAATTCACAAATGCAACAGTATTTAAAAATTGCTTGAAATGTGCATATTAATGGCGTGAGAAACAAAAAAATACATTTGCGTTCATTTTTGATAAAACAAAAGAATATAGCAATATTACTTTTAGTCATCTTATACAATGAAATTAGCACTACTTGTTCAACAAGTTTAAAGCAGTTTTAAGAAAATGGCGTTTATGCTTTTCTGAAAATGCAGAATTTTGAGCTCTTTTTCACAGAAAACTTTTGGCTTCTCGAGAAACTCTAAGACACCATTTAAAGCACATGTATTCGTAAATGCAATAATGTGAACAAATTGCAGCTAATGTAAATATTAATGATGTGAGAGGCTAGTAAAAAAAATTACATTTTTGTAATTTTGAAAAAACAGAATAGAGCAAAATGGCGTTTATGTCAACTCTAAATCAAGAGTGTACAGATAAAATTGCGCGGTTTTTGAAAAAAAATTGTTTTTGTTATTTTTTGAATTTGCACGCAATAGTGCATGACAGCTACAAAAATTAAAAAATACATGACCTTAAAAGAACTAATTATGAAGCACAAATTTCATTTGAAGAAAAAAAATCTCTACCTTCAATTTTGTTAGTTGTAGGTAGATGCTAAGAAAATTCACACTTTTACAATTTTTGAAAATGAATAGTAAAAATCATACCAACACTATCTTTATGTGTATTTTACTCAATTCTTTCCTCTCCAAAATTTAAAGAAAAAAACTTAGAGCCATTTTTGCAAAAGTTTCTAAATGTGTTAGGGGCATTATGTAAAGTAACTCAAAATTTTAAAGAATGTTTTTCAAAATCGCATTGATTCAAGTTCAGCCAGATCAATTGGGGAATATCGATTTTGGAAAAAATCCTATGATTGGTTTAGGTGCTAGTGGTGTTCACTGAAGGACAAACGTCTTGACTTTATAGGGATCAGAGGACCGTAAAACGTGTATTTCTATTGAAATCTTTTCCGCAGCAACTTTCTATGTACTACATATATTACTCTGTATAGATGTACATACACGAGAAAGTAAAAAATTATTTATACTTAATATATCTTCTAGACTCTGTTTTTCTTCAGTGAAATTCAACATTGTCATTACACTGTCTCACATTAGTCACATACACCTTACTTACCGTATCATTGCACCGTATTTCACCCATGTCTATTTTTTAAATGCAAATTAAAATGGCTGTCAATATTATTATAGTAGTACAATATTGATCCGTAGAGAATATAGCAGCATAAAACAAATGTATGGAATTATTTATTCTAATATAAAACAGCAGAATTATGAAATTAAATGGACAGATAGAATATTAAGCAGTATTATCAATTCTTTTATCAAGGGACCAAAACAGATTCAATAATTATATTCATTTACATTTTTCAAAATTACTATCAATGACACTGAAAATCAAGTAATCCTAAAATTCTTTATAAGAATGTGAAATTACTGTAGAAAATCATGCACCTTGAGAAACATACAAATCAACAGGATAAAGTTTATGTAAAACAGAAGGAAGATGAGTATACAAACTTTGCTTTATTGTTTCAATTTTCCCTCGTGGTCACATTACTGGTTCTATAATCACCAAGTGCCAGTCAAAAGGGTATTTTAATAAGCAGTCAAAGTTCATAAAACAAATCAATTTGTACAATCTTTGGTTGTAAGAAATATACTGAACACAACATAAAATAGTTATCAAAAATCATTTAAATCACAAGGTATAAGACATTCATGTTATAAAATTAAATTAAAAAAATAAATTATAAGTCAGATAATGCACAACCACTTAGTGTTGCTTTTCCATTCTCTTTGGAATATGGTGAATGATGAGTGTGAATGCCTGGCTATTTTCCAAATTGTCTTCACTGATTACTTTGTTTAAGTCTGGATAGAGGGAAGGAAAGCAAGTTTTTTTTGTTTTGTTTTTTGTTGTAGTTTTTTTGTGACAAATCCATTTCATTGGCATCAAGGAGGGCTGTTTTAAGGGACAAATTTACCAGAAAAAATATTTTATCATTATAATACAGAAATTAAGTTTGTGCCCAAGGACTATGCATCATGACTAGTCTAAACCAGTCTGCAATAAATAGTGTCATAGATTAAAAGGAATGTTAAATTTTGTGTTTGAGAGGTATTTTAATGTAGCGGTGGATTGAAAAGCAAATATTTGCATAGCGGTAAATTTGTCCCCAATGTTCACTTTCAATACAACTTTGCTATGAATACCAATAATATTACAAATAACCAGAATACTTTTGCAAGATATCATTTTCTCACAGCTACACTTTGACTGCAAGACAATCCCTATATCAAACAAGGCAACATATTATCTGTGTCGCTCAAATGTATGTAATTAACATTGTTCTGGCTTGTAATTGCTATACTGTTTTTCATTCAGATTTGCTACATATCAGCTTCCAACAAATTTGCAAAAAACATCTGAAAGATCATGACTTATATTATGCACACTGCTATTATTCCTAAGAAAGTGTTCTGAGTGATCTAAATCGGAAAGAAGGGAGAAGTAAACAAAGGCGACTTTTAGTTTCCAAATGTAGCAGAGAGGTTGAGAAGCAAGTTTCATTTACTTCCTGCTGGATTCCACGAGTCAGGAGATGATGGGAACCAAATGGTGTTCAGAGAGCGAAACGGATCAAATCCGAGTCCTTGCTGTAAATAACACACAATTCATAATTTTACAGCAAAGCACGTAAAATTCAATTAACATATTTATGAGTAATATTGTAAGATATGGGTACAACAGCTTGTTTCTGCCACCAATAATAAATAAATAATAATAATATTTCTAAGAGAAGATAAATTGCTCTAGTACAATTTATTTCAAGGATTAACCAGAGAATTTTCTTATGGAGAGTAGTCTTGAGAGGGGAATTTAATGGAACAAAGAGAAATATAAATTTAAAAATACAATAATACACAACTTCAAATAAACATTTTCATTCAATTGTTATATTAAATAATTATAAAATAAAATTAATGCATTTTTCTGACATCATGTATACGTGTATTCCAAACACTTACATCAATTTCAGAAGTGTTCTCTTCAGGACCATTTCCATCCTCTCGAGTCGTTGTTGGAACAGATGTGGAGGTAGAAGATGAGCCACTGCCGGAAAGAATAGGAGTTTGACCAGAACTCAGGGGTGGGGCAACAGGTCCCGGTCCATTGGACCAAGTGGATGATGACCACACAGAGCCAATTAGAGATCCCCAAACTGACCCAGTGCCTCGAATATCCTCATTTCTCAAATTGGGAGTAAAGAGTTGACTGTTGTCCACTGCAGGAGTATACAATGGCTCCCACAAAGAATCAACACCTGGCCAGTTTTCTAGAAAACAAATTTCTCATTTCTACATCTTTGACAATCTCACAATACCTCATTAATTTTTTTGAAATGGAATACTCAACAGTCTTAAAAGCCCAATTATAAAACAATAATAATTACATTTGACAATAAATTACATAAAAGCCAGGATTTCCCTCTTCCTTACCTCGAAAAAGATCTTGACGTCTAAATTCAACAGAAGTTTTTCTATTATCCTCCTCCAAGAGAGGTACAATTGAATTGCCCTGTTCCCACATGGCATCTCCACCATATGGAAGGGCACTGGACTGCTCTTCTTCCTAAAATTCCAATAAGATGTATTTCTTTCCAACCGTTTTCCAAAATCATCAACATTAGAATAAATTCAGAAATCCCCAAAATAACCAGAGTTCAAAGGATTCAACATTTTTATCTCTGACCATGATTTCTCCCAGGCATTAAATATGATTAGAGTTCAGATTTTTATGAGCTAAAATGAGTTCATTAATAGGTTTACAATTATGTCCTAACAATAATCAAAATATTTTCTTAAATGCTTGATATAAAACAATACCTTTAAACTTTAAACAAATGAAGTATTATGTTACAATTTTGGAATTATTCTACATGTAAACATTATGTAAATGATCTTGGCTATCCAGGTGTCGCCATGTCGAAGGCTGTGTCGCAGACGTTTTGACCAACTTATCAAGGTCTTCCTCAGGGCTGGCCAGACCAAAGAGCCAGACCAAGAAACGCTGGCAACATAGTCTTCAACGCGGCATCACCCGGACAGCCAAGCTCATTCACATGACTCTGGCTGCGTAAGCCTACGACTTCATGGAAACGTTATATTCATCTATCAATTATATGGGTTGCTGAAACAAAAACTTAAGTTCCTTTGTGATCCCATTACTTTAATGAACAAGGAAAAGTTTAATGAACACAAATGGCATCTAATCACCATCCTAACACATGTGATCGCCAAAGGGCTACCATTAACCCACACACTTTGCAGCATAACATTTCCTACTAGCTCACAAAAAGGCCAAAAATCATAGGCATGTCTGATACTGGCAGTGAGGGAAGATGTTGGGACAAAAGATATCTTTACATCAATGCACATTATCTTTATATTAAATTTACCATGTCAACTGGAGTTGGCTCAGTTAAAGCGTCAACAAAGAGACTGGATTGTTCTTGAGGCTGCTGAAGAAATGGGGGTAATGATTGTTGGGATTCAGACAAATCCCACGTTGAAGATGAAGGTTTCTTGGAACCAATAGGTCCTGTTAAAAGAGAATAAAAATTCTGATACATTCTGACAAATTTGCTGGAAAATGTAGAGCTTGGGAACTAAATGATAAACTTACCCAATCCACTACTAGATGACACAGGCGTAGGAATCACTTCTGAAGACTTTATTCGTGTGTTGTTTTCAGAGAAAACTGTGGGAAGGGAAGTGGGAGATGATGGTTGTTGCCGTTTTCGAGGAGCAACAATGCTAGAGTAGAGAGTAGAGTCACTACGAGCCACAACATCACTAAATGATGCTCTGTGTTCACCCCAGCAACTTCCAGAAGTACGTAAAGGTGGAGAGACACGAACTGTACTACTGGCACTGCTGCTGCTACTACTGCTATTTCCTGAACCACTGACAGGCCCAGAAGCTGAAAATGAAATATTTTGCTCTTTATTGATACCCAGTGTGTTACACTAGATCAAGTGCAAATAAAACCTTTCAATGTTAACATTAATAATGTCACCTTTCTTCCAAAATTTTCAAGCACATTTGGACAAATTTCAAAAGCACAGAAATCCATTTTCAGAAATAGAGTTTCTCCTCATCCTATTAAGTGGCTTTACTAGTTTCATACCAATACCACTCTACTACTGAGGAACTAATCGACGGTGGAGACCAATGGCTGAATCCAGAATAAATTTTATATATTTAAGAACTAATGTTACATGTATTTGGCAATACTTCACAATAATTTTCTGCACATTTGAGTTAAAATATTTTTAGTTTTTGATAAGCGTCATGGCCTTATATATTATTTGTAATATTTTCTGTATTTGTGGACATTTACACGAGGACTCAGATGGCCCCGTCCTTTTTTCTTCAATATTCACTATGTTGTTCGAAATGCACGTCAACTGTTTTCTACATCAACAGATACTAAAATGAGTTTGCAATGTGTTTATGAACAGGGCTGGTAATAGGAGGATACAGCAGCAAATTCACATTAGTTTTAAAAACCTAACAAGCCAATTCAATAAATAAATAATCAGAAAAAAATATATTGAAGTTCATTGCTGACTCCCCTATTTAGTACATGCCTGTTAAAACAAAAAGAGGAAAAAGTTCAATTTTTTTCATAATTTCTTAATCTTTTTTACAGAGCTTCAAAAAGTGCTTTTTCCAATACTACATGTTTGAAACAGTTTCTAAAAGGATGAATGACCATTGTATGCCTACATTTCTAAGGGCTTCAAAGTTTGCTCTTTCTAATGAGATATGATTGGAATAATTTCTTAAAGGTAATTTTCTGTAAGTGTTGAAAATACACTATTTTGGGGCTTTTTGCAAGCATCACCAATTTTACACTTCTTTTTCAATTAAAATGATGGAATTTTGTATATTAAATGTAACTTGCTGCTTTGGCTCAGTCTTCCAACTTCATCTGTACCTTTCACATTACCAACATTAGAAATTGCCTACTTTTCTAGAGGCTTCAAAACGTGTTTTTTCTAATGAGCTAGGTTTTGCAAAAATTCTAAAAGGTACTTTTCTGTGGGTTATAAAATGCACTACTTTTTGCAAAAATCATCAATTTTATCCTTACTTTTTTCAGAAATGGTGAGAGCTACGAGTTTGAAATTATACATTTAAAAATAATGTTACTTTGAAATATTATGTACTAAACTTCAATTTTCTTGCTAGAATATTGAAAAAACTGCACAACATTAAAATTTAAACACAAATTGATTACTTATGTAGTAGTAGTAGTATGGAGTAGTAACGAGAAAGTATTTTAATCGTTTCACAAAAATCAACAGTTTTTCAGCAGAAAATCTCTTATTGTTGGGCCCTGATAACAAAAAGATGGTTAATCTAGTTACTAAACATTGTGTAGTCAGAATCCGTTTTGTCAGTCCTTAATACTGAAAAATCGATTGGCAGCAAAATGTCTGCCCACCTGCTGGTTTTTAGGGGTTGTATATGTAAGGCCTCACAATTTTCTCAAATATTGCTTCAATACTTTAAACTATGTCCTTGTATAGCATTTAGAACACTTACAAGAATGGTGCTATCTCATCATCTTTGTTGAAATTCCTAAGTTATCGAAAATTGCAAAAGCGAGCACCAAATTCGTACAGCCTATTTCTTTAAAAAATTGTTATCCTCAATCAATTTAAAGGAACTTGTGATATTTTGGAACTGCGACATTTTGCTGAACTGCGAAAAATTGTTATGTTAAACATAAAAATTTGAAAAATACATTTTTGAAAAATTGAACTGAATATAACATTATTTTTAGATAATTTTTTATGAACACAATTCATTAAGAAAAAAATTTTATATTTATAATTGTAATTGAAGGAAGATGCCAAAAAAATATTGTTTTTTTCAATTTTCCAAAAATTAGGGTTTTTAACTAACATGACACTTGCGCCATTCTCCTAAATGTTCTTCACACTATCCAAAATCAAAGTTTAATCAGAAACGTTCGGGCCATTTTTTTGAAAATTTTGAAACTGTCCCAGGGACTTCATGTAAAGCACCCCCCAAAATTAAAATATTGGTATCAAGTTCAAGGGGCCAGATCAATTGAGGAATATTAATTTTGGAAAAAATCTGCTGAACGGAGTAGCTGCTAGTGTTGTTCACACACGTTTTTCAGCTAATTGATTTTTTGGTATGAAGGACCCACAAAACATGAATTCTGGCGACATTACATGTTAGACAATTTTTTTCTAAATGTAGCAACTAGATTTGTTCACATTTTCGTTATCAGGGCCTTGCAATAAGAGTTCTTCAGCCAAACATTTGCTGTTTTTTTGAGCATGATATAACTTTCTCGCTACCGCAGTAGCAAGAAAGTAAAGATCACAGAAATCACAGTTAAATTAACAGTAAGAGTTGAACACGTGAGCTTCCGCGGCTTGAATCCATAAATGTAAGGCGAAACGTCGGTACCCCAGCCAACGACGCGGCGTCTCCCGGATAGCCGAGAATTTACGGTAAGAGTTGTGTTAAGAAGTAAATGAAGTATCAGAAGGTGTTTCAGTAAATAAAGGTCTTAGACAAGTATGTCCTCTTTCACCAACTTTGTTTAAGATTTTTACTGAGGAAACTAACGGAATGGTCCAAAAAATGTAGAAATATGGGAGTGACTGTCAGAAACAAGATTTATAATCCCTTTTTAGCTGTTGATTAAAAACTTTTGTCTGCAGCTCAGGATGATATTGAATAAATGTTAAAGAAATGAACAGAAAAATATAAAAAATGGGGGACTTGCAATAAATGATGAAAAGTCACGATACATGGTTGTAGGGAAATCTGGGAATGATCTAAAAACAGAAATGGGTGTATTTCCAGTAGAAAAGGGATTTAAATATCTTGGAATGACTTAGGGCAGATGGATCTAATGACAATCACATTATTAAAGAAGATATTAGGCAAATAATACTGATAGAGACAAGAAATTGAAAATGTAGAATCCAAACAACTCTAATGGTATAGCTGTGAAATGAAAATGCATGCTGACAGAATATCAAATATTGTCGGGGAAGGCAGAGAAAATCTTGGAAGTCTGTCAACAATGAAAACAGAAGAATAGTGTTTTTTAGAAGAGACTTTTCATCATGTCTGGTGAAATAAAAAAATCATTTACGTTTAGAGTACAAGAAAATCATTAGAACTGTAAGAAACTTGTTTAATAATAATAATGATAATAATGATAATGATAATAATAATAATTATAATAATAATAATAATAATAATAATAATAATAATAATAATAATAATAATAATCGAAACCATGCAAGAACGCTCGCATGTTAAATTCCACCCTCTTCCCTATCTACTTTTCCATATTAAGAGGGGAAGTTGTTAACGAAACTTGTTTATTTGTTCAAAAAATTAAAAATGGTAACTTTTAATGTGCCTAAAGAATTTGAAATTAAAATAAAGAACAATGAAATTGATGTTTGAAAGAAATTTTGAATAAAGATTTATTCAGTATTATAATCGTGTCTTAAGCAATTCACAACACTTCTTTAAAAACGGCATTTGATGTTATTATATAATATTCCTTGACAGATAGCTTGCATTGCATACAGTCACAATATTACACAAGAAAGACATATCTCAATTTTGAGACATTTTTCTGGTTTTCTTTTAAGAAAATTACTATATATTCAATTTTAAATTACACACAATTAACACTTGTTCTGTTTCTGGAAAATAAATTTACTTACTCTTTAACGTTCCATTCTTCTCGGAAGTTCGTTTTTTAAGTACATTTTTCTCCTTACGTTCTCGACTAACAGGTTTCGATGTTTTCAACTTGTAAGGTAGTTCTAAGCTAGCAGATTTGGAAACCTCACTATTGGTAACTTTGACTGGTGTCTCAGACATTGTTTTGTTACATGAAGATTTTGTATTAGGTTTCCAATGGTTACCATAATCTTTCTTTTTCTGTCCTTCTTGCTCATATTCATCATCATCACAATCTCCTTCATAATTGTCCTTATAGTCCATTTCCTTTTCTTTGTCTTTCTTTAAAGCTGCTTTGTTTTCTCTATTAGAGTTCAAATTCTCTCGCTCCTAAAATAAAAAAAATATTTATAAAATAAATAACAAAAATGTCTACATTCACACATAACTATACGTTTATCCAAGTTACACATAAAATACATGAGAAATAAATATATCAGAAAATGGGCCTGAAAAAATGCAATACACTGGATCTCACATTTAAAGAACTTCTCCAAACACATACATACCTTTTCTATTTCATCATTATTAGAGCTTTCTGTTGTTGTGGATGATGTTTCTTCTTCAGAACAAATGACAGGTTCAGAGACTGTTCTCACACACTTTTTATGACTTTGATTTGCTCTCTTATTTTCCTTGGGATTTTCCAGTACCTTTTTATTAGAGATTTCTATTTCTTGAGTATTTTTACTGGTTGCTTTATTATCAATTACACCTACTTTGGTTTTATTTTGCTGAGATGAGGTGGTTCTAGATAAAAAGCAACTCCACCCTTTCTTTGAATGATTTTCTTGAATTGAATCTGTTGGTGTAGTGTGTTCACTATTGCCACTGTTCTTCTTTGATAATTTCTTTTTATTTTTTACAGACATTAAAGGAGTTGAGTTGCTAGAATACCCTGCTTCAGTATCATCAAATTTGATTACTGCAGGTTTCTCTTTACTTTCTGTTTCAACCACACTTCGTTCTTCGAAGTTACTCCAACAATTTTTAGGACATATATTGTTTTGAACATTTTTTATATTACTACAGTCACGATGTCGTTTCTCATTATGATGAGATACAGTATCATTCCCAGTAGAATCCGGCAACACTTCTGTTTTAACACAATTTATTTTCATATCACAATTTTTTTGAAAATTAGGAGAGGTTTTTGTTTCTGATGCAGCTCTGAGAGCCTTGTCTTTTGCAACAGCCACAAAAGCACATTTAAGTATTCGATCCGATTCTAAAAATGCTGCAGCCAGGACACAGAACAAAATAAAAGTCATGAAACTGATGGCAGAGTAATATAGAAGAGGTTCCCAACTTGGTCGCCCCAGTACACTAGAACAAGAAGCTAGGAAGTATGGTGGCAATGTTGTAATAAGGGAATAATTTACACTGATCCCTAAACTGGTTTCTATAGAGAGTGACCGTTGAATACGAGCTAATGTGAAATCTGGCGTGAAAGCTATATCAATTTTTCTGGTTCCATTTGGAGGGAGTTGAAACGGCACACAATTTAAAACACGAAAACCATACCCCTCACATGGTAAGCCATTGATATTAAAACCACTAACGAATATATTCAGATCACCAGTGTTTCTTGCTGTGAATGATCTTTTAACTGTTAAATTTGGCACAGGAAATTTTCTATTTTTCTCTCCTGAAAGAAAACAATAAAGTTACAATTACAATTAAGGGGAGACTAAATAAACTTAACAGTACTATTTTGCAAACCCATCTAAGAATATGTCGAAGCAGTTCACATGTATTTCACTTACTTTCACAATCCTTCAAGTGCTTTTCTGCAAGTTCAAACATTAAAGGGGCTTCAGAACCAGGTTTTCGATTTCCAAATTTGAATTGTGCATGAGCAGCTCTTCCAGACAATCTTACAATTTCAAGAATTGTTAAATTATTCCTAAAAAGAGAGAAGACAATAAAATCAAATATTTAACATAAATCTAATACCATATTTGAGTTAATATAAAAACCAAGTGCCAAGAGCCAACAACTTTCCACAGAATGAAAAAGACCTGAATTATTTCCTACTATTCATAATTGTAGTTAATTGTCGTGAAATCAAAGAAATATACTGTTAAATCAACATAATAGATTTCTGAATGAATGCATTCAAGAGATATAGCAAGATGTAACACTAATTCACTAAAAACAACACAAATCTAAACTTCAATATTAATCTACAACAAATAAATACATTCACAAGTAACAAGAAGTACAAAACACTAATAAAATTCACAAGGATGACACCTTCCATGCATGGATATACACAGATAAAATATTTTTCATTTATCACTAAGTAAAATATTGCATTATTTTTTGTGACATTTCTTTCTATTAAAACTAATTACCTAATTAATAAAACAGCTGAACTCAAGCCTGTCTTATGAGGAGAAAATCCTAGACGGGTTGTAGCTACTTCTCCAGGTTGCAACACCAGGGCCAAACTATTTGTATGGGGTAGCACTCCCAATAGCTTTTCAATATACGAGCCCACTAATGACCCTTCTTCTAAAGTAAATTCCCGAGAAGGAGAATTGTGACACTCATGGCATCTTGTCAATCTGAAACATACAATGTTTGAATTCTTTAATAGTTGTAAATAGCATTGTTCAACAGTTTTCTGTTGCATATAATAAATAAATAGCATTGAAAAAAACTGTCCAATGCAGAATGGAATATTTGAGGAACTTTTTCTAAGAAAATCAAAGGCCGGTGAGTGGAAAATTTTATATATATTAAAAGGAAACAAACCAAACCATCACAACACAAATCTTTCCAGATCATGTACTTATGAAGCAGCAATGAAATTAGATTTTGAATAAAACTGAAAGGCTCATATTCAGCTTTCTGAAACTCATATGAAATCTTTAGATATGGGATGACTAGACAAAAGGCATTAAATAGTTATTCAAACAATCAAAAATAAACAGGAAAAAAAGGCAAAACAAACTCCAAATTATATATTTGAACACATGAAGATCTCATTGAAGGGTTAGTCAGGGTTATTGTCTTGCTCCAAGTAATTTGGTTAAGTAGGAGCCTAGCTCACCCAAGTTCCACTAACTGATGTTTATTTATTTGTGCTCGGACATGTGAGGAAAGCAAGCTTCGTGAGGCTTCAAAGATACAGAATGTGAAATGCCAAACCAAATAACATTTCCAGTCCACACAAGAAAAATGGAAATTTGTTACTGGTAAACAACTATTTGGATTAACAAAACTGACAATGAAATAAATGTTAATTCATAACCAAGGCATTTGAAATTATGCATTTGGATAAAAAAAAAAAAGGAATTTATATAAAAAAAAGACCAAAAATGAGGAAAAGAAAGAAACAAAAGAGGCAATATAAAACTTTGTCAAAATGTGTAATTTTTCTACAACAACCAATGTCTAGTAATCTCCTTACTAGACACTTTCATAGAAATGAAAAACTGCTAAACATTTATTCTTCACATCACTTACAGTTATCATATAAAAGAAAAACCTCAGGCAATGGACAAAGAGTTACTGGAATTATTGCATTTTGTTTTACACAGATTTTACTGTGCTTTACATACCAACATTTTTTTGTACATTACATGTGCCTGTTTCAAATTAGTTTCGTATATTCTCTCTTTACTTTCAAGTATACATAGGTACATACGGAGTAAAACATGAACTGGAAAATCAATTTTGAGATTTCAACAGAACTACACATTTTGGGGTCCCTTGATACCAAAAAATTGTTTTTTCTTTCAAAATATCTATACATCTGTGAAAACCAATAGCACCTAAACCATTAGTAGGATTTTTTTGTCAAAATGAACATTTCCCAGTTGATCTGCTTTGACTCAAAGTGTTGCGGTTTTGAAAAACATTCTTTAACATTTGAGGATATTTTACAAGAAGGCTCAGGTCATTTTCAAAATTTTCTCAAAAAATGGCCCCAAAAGTATTCTTTACATTTTTTAAAGAGTAGGGATAAATACTTATAGATGGCATAGGTCTGTTTTTCACTGTTAAATAAAAATGTTAAAGAGTGAATTTTCAAAAATTTCAACAGAACGAATTTTCGAAAATTTCAACTGAACGAATTTCCGAAAATTTTAATAGTGTGCATAAAAAAAGATCGGATTTTCAAAAACTTTGAAAATGAACTTTTGAAAATTTCAACAGTTTGAATTTTTTTCAGCATCATCCTACAACTTCAAAATTGAAGATAGATTTTTCCTTCACATAAAAATTGTTTTCTCCATAATTTGGTAAGGTCATCCCTTATATCCACAAAGAGGAATTTGTCATAAATACTCATTCTTGAACATTACAGAACAGTGTTAATAATGTAACTGCATTTTTGCAGGATCAAAGAACATATTGTTTGTCTCGTCGCCAAACATTTACATTTAACCTACAAATAATCACTAATTTATATAAATAACACACATTCAAGTACAATTTGGGGGATACAGCAGAACCATGAAACAAGAGACCCCAATATACACTTCACACAATTGTAAGATTCCTGTCCAGAATAACTCGGATCTGTGAAAGGTGAAAGCTTGCATGCACTCTCTCTGTGAATTATGTTGTGAAATATTCTAAGACATGCAGTCTCCAATGATAGCTTATTTTTGATAATGACCAAATAATTTTCAGATGATTAGGAATTATGTGAACTGTGCGGTATTTGGCAAGGTCAACTGTTCATCAACTTAACATATTGGGTACTTCAAAATGAGATTTGTCAGCATTACATAACTGTTGTTAATCATCTAGTGAACAAGGCTGCATTTGTATGGAAAGAGAGAGGGAGAGAGGTAAGACAAATAAATATAGATAAATCTATTTGGAAATTCTAATCTGAAATGGCTTCAAAAAGGAAGTGGATGCCAATATCACAAAACCTTAACATAACGCATTCTGTTGAGATCAGCAAAAATGTACAATAACTTTAGGTAAAGTTATAATGAACTTATATTAGCATTCCACTGCTTACCACAGTTTTTGTTCTCACCTACACAAGACAAATATATAGGTCACTAGATTATCTCTTTTAATAGGTTTCTAGTTTAGAGATAATTTAATTTAAAGTTACCACAAGCAAATTTGACCTTATCCCGTCAATGGTAGATTATTCAACATTCAGTACATTTATTTTGTTAATTACATAAGATTATGTTGCAACAACTAGACTTAAAGAAAGCAAATCCCTTAGGTAAATATGACAATAAAAGTAACAGTATCCTTAAACTGTTCTTCCATAAATTTGATTCTTTCTATATTTTAATTGAAGGTGGTGTTTTGATGCCAAATTTAAAATTATTCTTTTTGACGTACGTTTAAGAATTAAAAGACAAAATCAATACATTCTACTTTATACATACATTATATAAGGAAATGATATTGCATTGAATTGGATTAAAAATGAGTTTACAGGATAAATTCCTTCCTCTTTGCTCATTGTCATGAGAGAGCAGATTTATGTGCACTCAAAATCATGAAAATATGCACGCAATTGTGATTAAAAATAGAAAAATATGCACAAAATAAAGTGATTTTGTATAAACTAATATGCAATGTTTACTTCTCGAAAAATAAATCATGTTTCTAATAAATCAAGAAAAGTGGAAAATTACCATATTACCACTGAAACAAGAAATTAACCCAGGTGAGGCCATTCTTGCATTCAACTCCTCAATAGTAATTGAACAAAATCAGCTGAATCTGCCTGTTCAATAAATAATATATTACACTACTATAAAACTTCAATAATGAACATTTCATGGTAAGTTATACGTGTTTTTAAGAAAAAATAATCACTATCATTTGAATCTTTCATTAATAACAAATAAAAAATCAGTGAGAGGCTTTAAATCGTTATTTCCTTCTTTACTCTTTCATTGCCACTATTATCCATTTTAATACATACAATTCCAGAGGAACCACCATATTATTTAATAACCCTCCAAAAGGCAATTATTACCTATTTTGGGAACTACGACCTACTGCATAAAAACCCATACACATCTCTGGCAATAACACATACCCATCAGGCAGATCATGGAGAAGGCGTTCTGCCACCGGATAAGCCCAGTCCATCACCAGTTGCAACGTCAAGGGCTTGGAAGAAGGATTGTGAATCACCAAGTCTTTGTAAGTTGTGTTGCCAATCTGTGTGAGGGGAAAAGTCAAAACACTGGTATTGCCTGGTGAGAGTGCTACATTCAGTGTAAGCAATGGCCATGTCATCATAACTTTGGCCCAAAACATGTGTCTTCGCACTTCAGTTGTGTGCAATTGAAGACTTATGTTCTGCCACACAGGAAAGCCCTTATCCCCGGCCAGGCGCACATAGCTTGTGTATCGTGCCGAGAGTAAGGAGAGATCAATATCATGAACATGGGGTGGAAGCTCCAGTAACTGCAACCACTGACTGCCAGCTGTAAGCAGTCACAGCAGGGATGAATGTATTAGTTTTTCCACACATTGTAAACAAAACTTTTACACTAATAATTCCTTTGTTAATGATTTGGACTAACAACAAATTTATTTAAAAACTCTTAAACACAATTTCAGTGTTTGATGGTATACGGGTTATATTTCAAGCTGTCAATTTAACAAAATAGTTCATTGGAATTATTCATTAGTTTGCTCTTAATTTTTTTCTTCTTCTGAAAAGTAATAGTGATGGTTGTGATAGTGGAAGAGAAAATGATGATGATCGCAATTTTTATTCCCATTTTCACCAACATACAGACTTTAACAAATACTTTGATTTTACCCCCACAAAGCGTTTGTAAAACACATAGCTTTAACGTAGGTGTTAACTTCAGAAGTGCATACTTAAGATTCACACACAGTAGTTGGAATCTAAAGCCATCTAATCAATGAAATCCCACTAAAACTCTTTCTGCTATTCAAACATGGCAATCTCAAAAGTATTCGGTGAGAAAAAGGCAAGTCATTTCATTTTACGGAAAGGTAGTTCAAATTATCTACAATATTGAAACACACAATGATTGTTCAAATAACTATTTTCAGGCAAAAAAGGGCGCACACTCAGCAAACAATACTAAAGATAACACTCGCTTACATTTTACATATTTTAATTGGGTGGGGAAAAATAAATGACAGAACTAAGGTACTGTTACATTCAATATAAACAGAAATGGCAACACTGCATAGCATTTCTCCTTATGTTTCTAAATAAAGGTATTTCTTCAAAAGAGATTAAGTGAATCTCTTTTGAGAGATTCATTTGAATTGCAGTTCATAATATGTACGCAAGGTAAAAAAGAAAAAAAATGTCATTAGTCCAAATTTTAAGTTCACGTAACAATATCACACCAAATCTTATTGATGTCCTATTTATGTAGTATGCTCACTACATTTTACCTAGATTAACTATTAAAGTATGAAGGAACGTCCAATCACATGCTCTCACCTGTTGAGTTTGTGTCGACACCCAGATAACAATGATTACCACAACTTGATGCAGGATCAAACATCACCTCTCCAATTGTACTTGTTGCCAAGGGAATTACTTCAGAGCTAGTGTTGGCTAACCAATAACTGACACGAGGATCATGTGGAACACTAGTAATTGATGTTACAGTCATAGCTCGACTGAACAAAGAACGAACTTGTAGAGTTTGTTTACAGAGTTTTCCCTGTAGAATAAAAATATGTCAAGAAATATGAATGAAAGTAAACTCTGCCTTTAATGAAAGCTGGAGTACACTTACAGGAAAGCAATTATCCAGAATTAGAGGATCAGGCAAGACCTCTAATCTACCATGAGCAACCCTCATTCGAACAGGTATCCTGATGGTTTCATACCTAGTTTTTATATACACATCACCGTTCAGCTCTTCTTCTATATCTGGAGCAGTAACCATTACTTTGAGAACAGCATACCAGTTGGGCTCCAACACAGTCTGAAGAGCAAAATAAATTTCATTCACTGATTTGGTTAAAAATGGCATTATTTTAGTAATACTTTAAAAAAAATTTCCAATATAATGTGTTTGTTTAGTATGAACAAGTAAAACAATAATAGTAAGCAAGAGCATGTATTAACATCTTTGACATGTATTGTGGAAAAAATGTATTCATTAAGTTTTTTTAAATTATCAGGCCTTTTCATGACAGCATGTAATTTCAACAATCTCTCTAATTCATGTGTACTATATGTGAGAGCATAAAAAAACAACAACTGCATGACCCAGTGAGAAACTTAATATACTAAAATCACTAAGGTTTTGACATTATCAGCAATTATATTCCATGCAAATGAATAAAAAAAAATAACCTGGATAGTCCATATCTCAATGCGGTTCAGAAGAGCACACTGTAGTAACAAAGTACCAAAAGCTGCAGATATCTCCAAAATGTATGCTCTAGGTCTTACAATCTTACATTCAGAAATAAAATTAAATTGCTGATATTCATGTTATTCCTTTGGTATAGCTAAGGCACGAAAAATATTCTGATGCACAGGGTTGGGAAGTAACTAATACCTGTATTAATACCTGTATTTGAAATACATTTTGAATCTCAAATATGACTTTTGAAGATAAATAGGTATATTAAATTACCAACTTTAAATACTTTATTTAAAGAGAAAGAAAGGTGGAGGAAGAGGCGAAGGAACGAAAAAAAAAGGCGATTTTCGGCAGGAAAAAATGAATTGCCGACATCTGACAAGGACAAATAAGATTTAATCCAGTTGCTAAATTAAGAAAAAAATCATCTAATGTGTCGTGAAGAAAGAATCCGTTTTGTGGGTCCTTGACACAGAAAAATCTATTACCGGCAAAATGTACTGACCGACCGATCGCCCTTCATTAATTTTTGGGGGTACTTTACATGAAGCTCCAAGGACACTTTCAAAATTATCTCAAAAACGGCTCCAAATTTTTTCTTTAAAATTCTTGCATGAATAGAGTAAATAACACTTATAAAGGTGGCACTTTACACTAATAACTCTGAATTTTCGATAATTGCAAAATTTTGAATGTTTTCGGCGACTTCATACAACTACAAAATTGAAGATTTTTCCTTCAAATTAAATTGGTTCTCCATAATTAGTTCTTTCATTAATGTTGTGTAAAGTTTTTCAACATTTAGTAGTTTTCAAGCAATATTGTTTGCGATATGTTCAATCTAAAAAAATGAAAATAACAAAAATAATATTTTCTCAAAACTGGCTCCTTTTTTTTTTTAAACTTTCAGTAGAGTTTAAGCTAAATGCGCTCTATAAGATAACATGCCATATTGCTCTACTCTTCTGTTTTTTCAAAATTTACAAAAAAATGTTTTGACTTGTCTTCCACATTGTTAGAATTTACAATAAAGGCAATTTACTCACATTATTATAATTATTAGTATATGAGCTTTAAGTAATGGCATATAAAGCTTCTCAAAATCTCAACCTTTTTCTGTCAAAGCAAGTTCAAAATTATGCATTTTCAGAAAAGCTCACATGCCATTTTCTCAAAAACTGCTACAATTTTAGTCTTCAAAATTTTTGAAATAATAGTACTAATTGCACTCTTTAATATGATGTTAAGTTAATTTCAGGGAATCTTTTTGATTTTTCAAAAATTTCACAAATATAATATTTGAAAGATCTCTAATGCTGTTAAAATGCATATTTCCAGCAATTTGGAAACACTATTGTATTTGTGAGTTAACAAACTTCAAATGACTTCAAATAAAGCTTTTCGAAAACTCAAAAATTTTCTGTGAAAAAGTACTTAAAAATTTGAATTTACTGTAGCTCTTAAGCGCCATTTTCTTAAAATTGGATCGAAATTTTTAAAAGAAAATTGCTATTTAGGATGAGGTTGAACAATTTTTTAATATTTTTAAAATAACATTTCCGCTCTACTACTAGGAAAGGGAAAAAGTAAGAACATTTAAAAAAATCTACTTTTGGTGTTGATAGTTGGCAGTGGGCAAGAGTATGTGGCAAGTTTGATTAGCTAGATGAGACCAAAGGAAATACAAAACTAATACAGAAAAGTATGCACCATTCTGTAGTACCATAGTCTTTTATACAATTTGTTACTTAATTGAGTACATTTAGCATTATCCCTACCAAAAATTTATAGAAAAATTTCCAGTCGTTTTCGAGAAAATTTTGTTTTTGTTATTTTATAAAATTACACATAGTATTGCGGAAATTTAAAAAAATATTAAGTACAAGACCTTAATGAAAGAACTACAAACGAAAAAAACAATATTTGAAGGAAAAATCTTCATCTTCAATTTTATAGTTGTAGGAAGGCGTAGAAAAAATTCAAATTTTAAAATTTTCGAAAATTCAGTTAACAGAGAAAAAGTCATATGCCATCTTTATAAGTGTATTTTACTCTATGCTTTCAAAAAATGTAAAGAAAAATTTGGAGCCATTTTTGAGAAAATTTTGAAACTGTCCCTGGGGCTTCATGTAAAGTACTCCCTATTTTTAAAGAAAGTTTTTAAAAATTCCAATGCCTTTAGTCAGATCTGATCAACTGGGGAATATCCATTTTTGAAAAAAATCATATGTATGGTTTAAGTGTAGTAGTGTTCACAGACGGACAGAGGACTGATGTGTTAACTTAGAGAAAAATTGCTGTATAATTAGTATTATTACATAAAAGTTACTAATGGTGAGAAAGTATGCACTATTTTAACACTATTAGTTTCATAACATCATTTAATGTAAAATTCTATGCCATAAACGGCCACTGATGCTAAACTGAGTTACAATAAAGTTAATAAAACTGAATTAAAATTTGAGCAAGTTTCCTGATTTTATAAAAGTTTAAATGTTTCACATGGTGAAAAAATTTCTCTTGTTAAGTTTTTTTGATGACTCAGAGCCTTTTACTTTCTTATTCTAGTTAGTTTTCACTGTGTTGTATCAAACCTCTTGAATACATCCCTATAAAGTATTCGAGTAAAACTCTCGAGTGGACATACAAGTGCGATTCCGTCTTCCATGGCTAGACCACTTCCCATGCACCCATCGAGACACATGAGGTATCATTCGACGTGTCTTGGTCTCCTGATAAGGAACTGGCAATTTGTTTTCGGAACCGGCTAGAAGATTCAAATAAATTTCCAAAAACATGTTTTTTCATGTTTTTACACAGCAATCTTAGTGATAATACTGGAATTGAAACCAATGCTTCCTAAATCGATTTATGTAGGAGGCATTGATTAAACACCAGTATCCAAAGTCATTTTTAACTTAATAAGCAATCACTTTCTTTCACGACTTTGGCAACTGATGTTGACATCTTCAAGTAAACAATTGAATTACCAAGTAAATAACACTTCAGTTTGATATCAATTTAGATTCAAATAATTGTATTAAAAAAAAAAAAAAAAAAAAAAAAAAAAAAAAAAAAAAAAAAAAAAAAAAAAAAAAAAAAAATGAAAACATACAAACAGTATTGCCTCAGAACTTACAGAATTTTCTTTCGTTCAACTTCACACTTTTCTGTTCTTTCTTAAGTTCCCGTTAAGTGTGCAAATACCAATTTTCAAATGAATGTGACCCACAACATACTCTTATTAAACTTCACTAACACCTTATTCACATAAATATACAAAACAGTCACCTTTTAATGTTAGATTCACATGCAATGCTAGATTCACATACAAAACAATTAAAAGAGCAATTGCAGAGTACAAAAGAACATAAATTAAGACTGAGTTTGTAAAATTTTAATCTCTTCAAAAATTAGGGGAGAAAAATATGGAAGTGTTAAGGAAATTCGAGGAGAATTAAATGTAGTTTTAAAAGATGTTGTGACATAATATTTGGAACTAACTGGAAAAGATCTGCATTTTTGCATTTAGCATTAGTGCAATGTGGGTATAACATTATCAGCTACTATGATTCATTGGCAAGTCCAATGCCAGATACAGAAAGAACGAAGAATAAAGCTGTGCAAGAAAGAAATGAAGTATGAAGGAAATTTTCAACATATGAAACTATTTTTGAAACACATTTTCAGCGTTGGTGACACCACATTTTACTAGTAGAATGTAATTCAACCTGCTCGGATTTAATGTGATTTGTCGTATTACTTTCTTGTAATGCCTTGTAGAAATGAGTGGTGTGATAGTGCTGTATCTATAGGTAAAATTACAGTTTCATTATGTCATTTCACCTTACAATCATTCTCTGTATAATAAATTAGTGTTTGTTCATGCTGAAAACAACGATCATATGCATGGATGGTGAAAAATAAATACAAGGTGAATTTCTTAAATATTAAATACTTGCACAACACTTACACTCATGTTCATATTGCTGAAATTTTGGTGACTCTCAACAGTAGATTCATTTCCTTCTGCCACCCCAAGAAGTTCTACCACAGCTCCAGTAAAATTTGTACCCCAATCTTCAATATTGATTGGCACCGGATTATAGTTGAATAATTGAAAATGTGCTTCTCTTTGACTAGCACTACCAACTGTTCCAAAATTCAGTTCCGTTTCATTGAATTCTGACACAATGACCTGTTAACAAAATAACACTTCATGAATACCAATATTCATTACCACTGAATATATAGAAAAATCTTCTGAGAAGATTAATTATAAAATCTCAAGGTCTAATTAAAATATTTATCTTTCTTACACCAAACATTTTATTGAATTTTAGAAAATTTTACAATTTTAAGAATACAGTTTCTAAGATAATATTAACAACTAGGAGGAAATTGAAAAATGAAAGTTTTATTGTAACAATCCCTCTAAATATAATCCCCTCAGATGAGATGAAAGTTTTCTACAATTTAGAAGAAAACCATCAACCATGAAGTGCACTCCTGCTGAGTAGGGAATGACTCCAAAGTTCTGCATCAAAGAAATTTCAGACTAAAATTTAAAAGCGTACAGATTATGACATAGGTGGGTAATTTGCAACTTGTAACATACAATTGCAACTTGTAATACACATAGCTATCCTGCATAACTTGGAAACAATGCATCCTACAGCCTCTATTGCTTTTTTCCACTCTTCTTGGTACCCTGAGCTATTCACAACTCGTTTCATCTGCTCAGAAAGCCACTGCACTTTTTACCACCTAATGTGAATGTACATATTTTGTGATTAGAAAACAACTTAAATTGAGGTTTTGAATTTCCGAATTAACATATGCAGCAACATATGGAAGAATATGTGTTGAACATTTGGAAGAATGTGAAGAAGAATGTGAATATGTAGGGAGATGATATGAGGACACGGGAGAAAACTTGTAGGGCATGACATGGGAAACATGAAAAACATACAGTGGTACAAGTGTGGGGTGTATGACAGGAGCAGGAGGTGAAGAAACGTGAAAAATGTGGGGAACATGCAAAGAAATACGCAAGGAACATGCATGAAACATCAGGCAATGTGTACGGAATATGAGGGGATCATTTAGGGGCAGGTGGATCGCAGGTTTTGTTTCTTATGCCATATTCTAAAAAAGAGCCCTTCTGGAAACCATGAGTTAAATTTTTTTGGAGAATTAGCTCTGTGTAAGCTCTTACTCCATCAGATGATCAGTCAATGATGTCAAAGTCATCAGTCAATGACTGGCCTGTAAGGCTTTGAGGTACAGTTCAGGGACAGCCATTCCTGGTTGAGATCCACTATGAAGCTATTTTCAGAACATTACTTTAGAATGTGCAGGACGTCCACACAGATTTTTTCGCCCTTAAAAAATCCGCAGCTTCGATCGGGTTTGAACCCGCGAACTTGGGTATAACAATCCGATGTGCTAACAGTTACACCATTGCCGGTGCAAGTAGGCAGTCTCCAGTAGAAGCTTCATCTGAGGCAAAGGAAGGGAAAGTCACATTCGCGGACTGCATTAATTAATTAGAGTATATTATTATCAAACAGAATTTCCGGGGAACGTTACAAAAATTCTCCAGCTGCCAGAATTTACGACGATACAAGGAGCATCTGGAGGACATCACATTGATGGCATCCGGATGGAAGATCTCTTGAGAACCAGCGTGGAAGATCTTTCCATAGCTTACGAACATGTACACAAGAAATACCGTATGGAATTTGTGACTATACAAATTAAAGATAAATCATTAATGAGCTCAAAGAGCAATAGTAAACCAAATGTAGATCTGCAGAATAAATGTCAATTCTTTATTATCAAACAATGTAAAAAGGTTTATAATTTGTAGAAGTTGCAATCAACTTTTTTATAACAGGATAATTCAGCAGAACTTCCAGGAATCCCGGCTCTGTAGAGTTGCATGTCCACATATAATAATAAAATAAGAAGGTATAGTGTTATATGTCGATCCCAGTTTGATGCATGTGATAGAGGTCGTAGGCTGTTCCAACTTGATGAAACTGTTGTGAACATCCACAAACGCTTGTGTGCAGTGTATGGCACTCCTGCTGATGCCAGGAGTACTGATGGATGTTGTGTAAATGAATTAGAGCTTCCAAAAGTGAAGAATATGATCTTAATTATTTGCAGCGCTCCAAGCATCCCGCCACAGCGACAAGTACTGAAATTCTGATTTCCAGGATTCTCGGATTCTGATGACACGCCATCTTTTCATTGGTGCGTTGTAGACGTAGCTAACTTGTAAATGAATGTTTATAAGAACATAAAGGTAATAAAAATGTGTAGTTATTGGGTCAATATTGTCATTTTAAATATTTAGGTCTTTTAACCTTTGTGCCATTTTTATGCATTTTCCCTTTTCGTTTTTTGTTAATGAATGTTTCATGAATTTACAATGACTCACTAAATTTTTTTTAGGGTGTCATCAAGTTCATGACCTTTCAAAACCAACGGTCGGAAGATGGAGATAAGGATTACATTAAAATGAAAGACCCTTAAAATGAAGACTATATCAAACACAATTGCATATAATTTTTATTTAAAATTGCGAAATTCATTGATCAAGTTAAACATTTTCATACAAATGTTTGAGTATTTTGAAAAAAAAAAAAAAAAGTTATTTTCCCCTTTGTTTTTGAGCTTTTAAGGTCATTTTTGTCTGATAAGTTTTTACAAGTCATTTTAAAAGAAGTCATCAAAATCTGAGCCCTGCTGATCACTCTTTTAAAAGATGCATTTCCCGCAGGTTCAATTCCAGAAGAATTGTGCACAAAGCTTGCTCTAGCACAATAACATAAGCATACCCAATACAAGAGAAGCACTGACAAAAATTGGTTGCGCTTCCCCATCTACCACAGTTCGAATTTAGCCCCCTCCGATTTCCAACTCTTTGAGCTATTGAAAATGCCACTGAAAACGCGGAAGAAATATTCAAAATTACTTGAAGTGAATAGGGATTAACGGAATCCTTTATAATATTTAGTTTAAAAGTGGTATTGTGTCACTGTTTGCCCCGCTGTGCACATCTGGTATGTAGTCTGCAGATACGAGCATGCCATGTGAAGGATTTGTCACACACTATTCCTAGAAACCTGGCAGATTCTCCGAATGGAAGCTTATTTCCTCCCAAGAAAAGGGCTGGATTACTATGCAGATGATATATCCTGCAGAAATACACACCAGTAGATTTAGTAGAAGTTAAAAGTTCTCGACATACTCCATTTCTGAAGCTCATTGAGCACCAGTTGAAGTTACCTTGGGATCACACTGGTGCTGCTGGACAAACAAAATATGGCAAAATCGTCCACAAACCATGATGCTTAAACAGGTTCTCGCACAGTCGACGCAATACCAATTATGGCGATGGCAAACAGTGCGACATTCAGAACCAATTCTTGAAGGATACCATTTTCTACAGGGCGACAACTAGAAAGTGTCACCAAAGCGAACACGAAAGGATCTGTTCGAGAGGAAATTCAGCAGGTATAGGAAAGTTTCCTCCTAAATCCTCAGGGGTGAAGGATTCGCAGAATGCCATACCTCTAAGTGGTGTCATAGGTCTTATATATGTCAAATAACAAGATGAACGGTGTCAATATTGCTGTTTCCAACGCAACGACGTGGTCCAAGATTGACCGGTTTCATCTAAATCCACTTTGGATTGGCATCAAGAGACGTCTACAATCCAAGCTCCAGACCAATCGCCGATTCACCATGCGTTCCAGCACTTTGTACACACAGCTTGAGAGAAATGGGTTAATAGCTTGATGGCAATGAACGATCTTTCCCATCGCTAAGAACTGGGACAATGGCTTCACGTCATATAGCAGGGAAGGAGTGCTCTCACCAGATACGATTGAAGAGCCGGAGGAGAAATTGCACGGCCGTTTCAGGAAGATGTAGCATTAGATTATGGATTTCATCTGGATCTGGGTCAGTTTTGCAAGCACCAAAGCAGAGCGCATTTCGCATATGCAGAATGGGGTATTGCAATCTTCAGGTGCTGTAATCGAAAAAATACAGAGTGCGGTTTTCCATTCTCTTCGAGGAAAAGAAAATCTGGAGCATAGTTCGCTGAACTCGACTTGTTTTCATAATGAGCGGCAAGTTTCTCTACATTTGCGTCTTGGGATGTAATCTCACCATTCCTAAGACCTGGCACTGAGTTTTGGTATATCCCTTGATTTGATGCACCTTCCTCCTTGACGGTTTGTCAATTGAAGGAGACGTTTGCTTCCCACGGTAACTTTCTGCTTTCTAGAACGGTTTTCTTCGTCGCTCTGTACCTCTTGTAATCAGTTAGATTATCCACGGTTAAATGGTGCTTCAGGCGCGCCAATGCCTCTGTGGCATTGACCGCCCTTAAGCAGTCCGGTTTCCACCACGGGGCTTTGGGATGTCGCGGTTTACAGGTCGACTTGGAATATGCAATATTCGCAGCTTGTGGAACAGCGCTGTTAAAATGTGCTGCCATTTCGTCCACGGTTAAAGGCGCCCTCTGACAGACTGACTTTCGCTTGAAATTTCGACCAGTCAGCACGTAGTACACTCGAGGGGGTCGAGCGAACTCATGAACAAGTCCATCAATGAACATAGTGAAGTAATGGTCGCTTACATAAAGGTCATCTAGAACACATTGTAGGGCGGTTGCAAGTGATGGGCTGCAAAGAGCCAGATCGATTCACGTGCTTGAGTTTGTGGCGAAGGCGATGGTTCATCTGAGTTCAGAATTACCAAGTTCAAGGTATCTGTTACCGATTCCAATACGTCGCCTCTCTGACAAGTGCGAGATGAACCCCAAAGAGCACTGAGGACATCTACATCACCGACAATCAAGAACAGAGAGGTCCGTCTGTTACATCACTCCCTACAGTTCGTCGGCGGATACACTGTCCAGGAGGGATGTAGATGTTACAGTGAGCGTGAGGGATGGGAGGCGCACCTGCACACACAGTGTTCGGGACTTGGTCTGAACTGGAACGTCTGTAGAGAACGGCGAGTTATGGATAAAAGTAGCAACTCAGCCATGTGCACGGAGGCCGTCATCACCCCTATTTGGGGTAAAACCGCGGAAATATAGGGGTGATGGAGGAAAAGGATGTCTCCTGTAATCAGAATAACGGAACACCAGTTTCAAATCGACCCGTCGCCCAGGAGAAGCCATTCATATTCCATTATAGTATTAGGCCAAGATGGTATTAAGTTATTTTTTCTTCTTTCGACGTCGTGTCCCGAATGGGCGAATTTTCTCAGAGATAGAATCCTCCTGGGAACAACCAGGGGGCTAGATGCTTGTCGGAGCGAGTATTCGAAAGTGTAGATTATAGGGGGTTTAACGACGAGTACTTATTAGTCGGATCTAAGAATACCTTACTGGCATCGACTTCCATCGAGAGATTGAAGTCTATGACTGTAGACAGCTTTCGTAGCAGTATCTTAAACTTGGTACGTATGAATACTCTCCTGCCTTGCAGGGGTCGGTGTCCACTAGGGATACCTAACAGGTGAAGTTCATGCCTTGGGGAGGGGGGAATCTTCCTTGGGAGATCGATACTTTCGAGGCCTTTACTTTCACAGAGCTAGAAAACGACAGAGAAATATCAACAGGATTTCCTTGCCTGATACCTACACTTGGCCTTAGGGAAGGACACCTCAGCGACTTCGATCTTTTGGATATCTCTTTCACTCATTAAGGTAGAGCATTGTTTGCAGTTGGCCGGATGGTCACCTTCACAATTTACACAATGCATTGAGGGTTCAGCTTCGTGCCCTGATTTTACATAACATTCTTTGAAGCATTGGCACAACACCGCAAAGGGTTAGGAACGTATTGCCGTACGCGGCGGTTATAAAACCGCAGGAGAGATGTAAGATCGGGGTAGAAGTGGGGATTTCTCGCCCATGCTCCTTCTTGATCCTGTAAACGTCCGTCACACCCTGGCGACTAGTTCTTCATTCTCGGCAGCAAAGTCTTTGTGATTGACCACTACCTTTACGCGGGTGAACACTTCCACTTCGAGACCAACAATCTGCTTTTTTTCAGATATTTTCTATTTGATCATCCGAGCGTGCATGAAAAATAATCGTACCATTCCTTTGTCGCACTACAGCTTGCAGTTTCCCATACGTTTCATTTACTTGCATAGCACGCGCCACACGGACAGCACTAACCATTTTAAAGGATTAACCTCCCTCGGCGCAAGTCATAAGGAAACGAGGTTTCTCCGATCTAAGGGCTTTAGATAAGAAACTATTCATGGCAATCTTCTCTTCCTTGCGGAAGAGGACGGAGGGGAACATTTAGTATCCATAGAGATGGACATCAGATTCATCACCGTGGTCCCCACCCTCTACGGAGCCCAACAAGGGGGCATTCCATCGGAGTGCCAAGTTTGCCACAGAGATGCAGTGGGGGGATGACACAGCGCTGCCCCTTGTTCATCGTGGAGTTCAGTACAAGATCTTGTCCGAGCGGACAGATCGGGAGTATTTGCTCCCAACTGCCCGTCTAGAAGAGTCAGAGACCAAAGCAAGTGAAAACTACAAAGAATGTACCCCAAAATACACAAACAACGTATTCCTAGGGACAAAGCAGATCGACGCACAAGGAGAGTAGTTGGGAAACAAACAGGTCCCTCAAATGCCAGGGCACAAATTCCGACAGACACGGGTCCCCATGCACGGCAACACACGGGTGGGCGCTCAGCGTACAGGGGAGCCAGTGAAATGGGGGGTTGAAGAAAAGCGACATGATGTTATTAAAGAACGAGAATGAACGATGGGGAAGATAAAGATTACTGGTGAACGAAAAGAACACTTGAGAGCCCTCCCGGTAGGACTTGGATCAACCCACCTTGACGGGTGTGGTTTTAAACAGAGAGCTCGAGTACCTATCAGGGAGGTGCAGTATCTTCCATAATAAATCTGACAATAGGAGCCCTAAAGATAGCCAGAAGTGTCCAGGATTGACAAGTTCTTGATTAAGAGACACTTAGCAATCATCGTGATGTAGAATTTTCCACTTCATCCATTAGAAACGAGAGCTGGAAGAATTAGCCAAATCGGACCATCATGGAAAAACAAAATATGAAACAGAGAAAAGGCTATAGTATTCCTTGATGAAACTGTTGCAGAATATTGTAGAGGGGGGAAAAGCAGGGTCCCTCGAACAGGTAATAAAGAAAACGTGAAAAATCGTTCAAATACGCATGAGATGTCAATGCCTTGACGCAGGGGAGAAACGTGTACTGGTGGACTCCAGATATTGCAGAACTTTGTAAAGTATATGTTAAAACTCATAGCCAAAATGGATATACAACTAAGGGATAACTATATGAAGTGCTGAAAACGACTAAAATCCAAAATCAAAAGACGTAAAACCAAATTCTGAAAGGACTTAGAAAATGATTTAGAAATTGACTTAGAAAAGGACTTAGTCTCGCCACGTAAAATAAGGCAAATTCAATTCAATTCAATTATGTAAAGAATGACCCCTGGGGAAAAGCCTATAAAATAGTTAAGGGGGAATTTAAACCATCCAACACTGCGTAACTGGAAGACCCCGAGTGGGCAAAAGTAATTATCAGATACCTTTTTCCTAGCAGAGAAAGCTGGGTAAGGATAAATCTGCTGACTAGCACTCTAAGTTAATTATTTCACGAAGGATGGATTGGTACAAAAGATGATGAAGGCCAAGAAGCAATCAGCGCCGGGACCGGGCGGAATCACCAACGTGATCCTAGTATGGTAGTTAAAGAATACCCCAAATGCCTCCTGGATGCCTTTAATCACTGCCTTAAACTGAGGAAATCCTTTAAGGAGTGGAAATGCAGAAGCTAATCCTTATATGGAAAGGAAACAAACCAATTGAGCTGAAGTCATCGTTCAGACCTTTATGCCTGTTGCATATGAGAAGTACATTACTGGAAAGGTTGCTCCTTCTAGGATTAAGAGACACATGCCTTCAGGAATAAATTTCTCAATGAGACAGTTCGGGTTTAGAAAGGGTCTCTCGACAATCGACGCTATTACAGAAGCAGTCCATTATGATGAAATAGCCAAAAGTAAAAGAGGGTTTTGTGCTCTGGTGGCAATTAACATAAAAAACGCAGACAACTCCGCCAGCTGGAAAGACATAATATATGCCCTGGAATCTAAGAAGGAGTACCTTGTGATGATACTGGAGGGCTACGTAAGCGGGAAGAAAATAATATACATGAATGGATATAGGATAGAGGAAGACATGATTTGTGGGGTCCCACAAGGGTCGAGACTGGGCTTGTTTCTGCGATCTGCTGAACACCAAGCTTTCGATGAACTCTCAACTCACCGGTTATGCTGACGACACACTGATAATGTCATAGTGACAACGTGGAACTATTGGAAATGAAAAGCAAATGAAAATCTATGCAGGATGAAAAGATGGTTGGATGTAAGAGTGGCACCAGATTAAATCAAAATATGCATTTTGGAAAAAATCCGGACCGGTTTTGGTGCCAGTTTCGTTTTCAGATTAACCGGCCGATATTACTGGAAAGAAAGAAAAAGAAATGGCACCTAGGGCAATTTTCATCAGGTCACAACTTACTAGGGGCCCCAATTTTTTTCACTCAAAACCAGTACCAGGTATGAAAAAAGGATTATGACAATAGCCAAACTTCTTAATCATAGTCCACGAAGTCATGGAAGTTAAGCAACTTGAGCAACTCAGGATGGACAACCGTCTTAAAATCCTGAATATTAACGGCGCCGGGGAAGAGAGATAAAAGGCAATAACTTTCGACGAATGACTTACAATGTTCATGGAGAATTACTCAACACTGAATGTCAAAAATGCTTTTGTTTCTGTTAAAACTGTTTCGCGAGTAACGCACGCACAGAGAGAGAGAGAGAGAGAGAGAGAGAGAGAGAGAGACAGAGAGGAGAGAGAGGAGTGAGACAGAGAAGAGAGAGGAGAGAGAGAAGAGAGAGGGGACAGAGAGGGGAGAGAGAGGGGAGGGAGAGGGGAGAGAAAGAGGAGTGAGGAGAGAGAGAAGAGAGAGGAAGGAGAGAGAGGAGAGGAGAGAGAGGAGGAGAGAGAGAGGAGAGGAGAGA